TGGATAAATGCAGGTTCGTCATAATGGTGCATCGGCCGGGAAGTTTGGATTTGTTAAAGTGAACTTCACGAGGAAGTATGTGTCCAGACCATGCCCTAGGTAAGAGCATGATTATTATTAAATTTTGAACGTGTTTGATTTGAATTTTGATAATTTGCAGTCTTAGGTACATTTGTGTATTAACGCGAAATAATGGCAGAACTAGATAGATTAAAACGAAAGAGAACCGCATTGAGAACGGTAGTATCTAAACTACTAAAGAAAGTCGAGGATAGCTTAGCAAAGAAAGATACAGATGAATTATGCGAAGTGCATGAATTATTAATAGAAAAGAAAAGTAATTTGAAAGAATTAGACGAGGCAATTCATTCCGTAATTGAGATAGATTCTCTAGAAGCGGATGTAGTTAGTTCTGAGGAATATCAGGAAAAATGTTCTCGAGCTATTAAACGAATTAATCGAATGTTGGAAGAGGATAAAATAAGTATTAAAGATCCTGAACAAAACTTGGTTAGACTGCAAAATGTACAAAGTACGGTAAAACTTCCAAAACTAATTTTAGAGAAATATTCAGGTGATCCTGAAAAATTTACGGAGTTTTGGAACAGTTACGAAAGCACTATAGACAAAAACGAAAGTCTTAGTAAGATAGAAAAATTCGCATACTTGAAAACATTACTTACAGGTGCCGCGAGTAATGTAGTATCTTCATTAGAATTAAATGCAAAAAATTACGATGAGAGTATAAAATCTTTAAAGGATAGATTCGGGAAAAAAGAAATAATAATTAGTCAATTCATGAACAAACTGTTAAATTTAGAACCAGTAAGGAATTCAAATAATATTAAAGCTTTACGTAGGTTATATGATGAAATCGAAATTGCAGTTCGGAATTTGGAAGCGCAAGGAGTTACGAAAGGTTCATTTGGTCAGTTATTAATACCTGTGTTGTTAAAAGCTATTCCAGAAGAGTTCGTTCTGGAATTTAATCGAAGGAAAAAACCCAAATGAAGAAAGAAGAAATTAATGTTTCAGACTTGTTGGACTTCATAAAGCGGGAAATTGAATGTCGTGAAGCGTCGAGTTTATTGACGCGAGATAAAAGAAATACCTTGCCTCCACGTTTCGAACATGCTAAGTCTGATTATAAAAAAAATTCACAGAAATGTACCTACGGCTGCCAGTTTCAATGCTGTTGATAATCGTGCATGCATCTTCTGCGAAAAGTCCCATAATTCATTTTCTTGTGATAAAAGCATTAAAGAAAAATTGTGTAAGTTACGTACTGAAAATAGATGCTTTATTTGTTTTCGAAAATATCACATTTGGAAATCGTGCAGAAATAAAACTAACTGCTTAAAATGCGGGTTTAAGTCGCATCATGAGTCACTATGTACGAGTAGTTCAAATCGTAACAAAGCGCGAACGGCTTCAAATCAAAACATAAAAGAATTGTGCGAAAGCTCGCGAGACAATTCAGTAGATGAAACACAAAACTCCCGAAAGAAAAGAACACACGCTTTCTGTTGTTCCTTGTGATAAATCATTGAATAAAAATGCTTTATTGCAAACCTGTTCAGTGTTAGCTCATTATGACGGAAAGTCAGAGTTAACTAATTTAATTTTCGATTGTGGTGCTACACGAAGTTTTGTTCATATTAGTGTAGTTAAGAAATTAAACTTAAAATTTGTTGGAGAAGAAACATTGTCTATTTATTCTTTCGGAATGAAATACGCAGTACCTAAAACATATAAGGTTTGTCGAATTCTGTGTTTCGGATGCGAAGCAAAAGAACAAAATAAAAATCAGCTGTCTCGTCACTGACGCCATTACGGCTGCGCATATGACCACGCCGTCAAAAAACAAACACTAAAAATGATGAATGAGTGCGGATTGCGAATCGCTTGTTTATGTAAAAGAAGCGTTGGAATTCTAATAGGTGTGGATTATTACTGGAAGATGGTAAGGGGGGGGGGGAAAGATTCAATTAGGAAAGGAAATTTATGCGATTTCTACTATGTTTGGATGGGTCCCAGTTGGCCTTCAAGATAAAGAGAGCGAAATAGTATCTCAAAACACGGCAATAGTAAACCTTTCTTCTTGCGTAACTGATTCATTGAGATCGTTATGGACTTTAGATTTGATGGGCCTTACCGATGACTCAGCGATTTCTAACGAGGTGAGAGAAATGATTCAGAGCTTTGAAAAGGAAATACGGGTAGAAGGTAATAGATACTATGTCAGTTTATTATGGAAATCGGAAGCAGGGCAATTAGAAAATAATTTCGGAGTAGCATTAAGACGATTTGAAAGTCTTAAAAATAGACTTATTAGAAATCCTGAGATTTATCAGCAGTATAAATCCGTAATTGAAGAGCAAATGAAGGAGGGTATAGTTGAGAAGTGTTCACAGGAAATAACGGAGGCATCGTATTTTATGCCGCACAGGGAAATAATAAAACCTAAGGAAACCACAAGGTTGTAGGATTGTTTACGACGCGAGCTCTTCTAGAACTAAAGGTGTAAAGTCCTTAAATGATTTTTTAGACATTGGACCTAGTTTGATCCCCGTGGTTTTGGACATAATTTTAAAATTTCGGAAATATGAAATTGCTTTCAGCGGAGATTTGGAGATTTAGCTAAGGCCTTTTTAATGATAGGAATCTTAGAATCTTAGAAAAGGATAGGGAATATTTAAAATTTCTTTGGTTCGGGAATAATAGTGAGGAAAAATATAAAGTTTTAAGGTTTTAAACGTCTTCCATTCGGACTTTGCTGTAGTCCAGCAATTTTAGCGATGACGATAAAATTCCACATTAAAAAATATAAAAGCACAAATCCAGAAAGTTATGAATATGTTAGATTCCTCGTTATATGTAGACGATTTATACTACGGTGCAGACACTATTGAAGATGCATGTCGATTATCCTCAGACGCGGTTAAGATTTTTAAAGACGCTGAGATGAATTTGAGAGAAAATTAAGGTCAAATTCCGAGGAACTTAATTCCTGGTGGATTGGAAAAGGTTATAACATAGAACCAGCTAAAGAGTCAAAATTTTTGGGCATGATCTGGAACTCTGAAGCAGATAAGATCAAGTTGAATTGCGAATTTTTAGGAAATTTATCCCATGACAGTGCTGAGGCCACAAAAAGGACTATTCTCCAAAGGGTGGCCAAAGTTTACGATCCAATTGGTGTGTTTCAACCCTTTGTGATGAAAATGAAAATTCTGTTACAAAAAATTTGGACATTAGGTGTGGACTGGGATGATACCCTTCCATTAGAAATAAGTTAAGGACTGGAGTCGCTGGCAAGCTGAATTAAAGGTGTTGGAGGATTTTTCTCTTCCGAGAAAATATTTTGGTAGTAGTAGTGAAAAATCTAATGTTAGTCTTCATGTATTTGCTGACGCTAGCCCTAAAGCGTACGGCGCAGTAGTAGCATACTTTAGATACCTTGATTCAGAAAACATTATTTGCACCAGTTTCATTACCGCAAAGGGTCGCGTAGCTCCACTCAAGACTATGACTTTACCTCGTTTGGAGTTGATGGCTGCTTTAGTAGCCGCCAAATTGTCTATGTATTTGACAAAGCTGTTTCCTGAACTGTGTCATCAAAAGTTTCTTTGGAGTGATAGCCAAATAACTATCTACTGGATAAAGGGATGTGCAAGAAACTGGAAACCCTTTGTATCAAACCGAGTTTCTGATATTCAGTCACTCACGGATCCTGAATGCTGGTTTCACTGCAGTGGGAGTGAAAACCCTGCTGACCTTTTATCTCGAGGAGAAAATGCCTTTAATCTTGTGAGAAGTTCCCTTTGGTTACAGGGACCTAGCTGGCTGTCTCAACCTGAAAGTGTTTGGCCAGTAAATCAACAGACCAACATCGACGAGGAGAGCGTTCAGAACGAAGCAAGGGGGGTGCAAACATCTCTTCATGTTTCTGTTCAAGACGTAGAATCTTCGGCATTACTACAGTTAACGCGATTCAGCAGGCTGCTGAAGGTGTATCGAATTACGGCTTATGTTATGCGGTTTACCAACAATATAAAACGAAATTCAGTGAAAGTCAAAGGTCCATTAAGCTCTGTTGAGATTTCACGAGCTGAGCTCTATTGGGTAAAAGTTACACAGCGAAAATACTTTGCGAAAGAGATTCTAGATCTATCAAGTGGAAAATGCTTAGAAAAGACATCGTCGATTTATTCACTTAACCCAGAATTGGATACCCATGGTCTTCTGCGTTTAAAGGGCAGACTTCAATTCTCAGACTTTGCTTTCGAAGAAAAACACCCATGGCTGTTACCTTATAAAGATAGATACAGTGAACTAGTAATTTTTGAGTCTCATAACAAATTGTTTCATGCTGGAGTCGAAGCTACCTTAGCCGATATTAGAGAAAAGTTTTGGATCATAAAAGGACGCCAATTCGTCAAGTCCACGTTAAGTAAGTGCTTTTTTGTGTAAACGATACAAGGTGCGTGCCGGTACACAGGAAACCGCTCCTTTACCACCTGATCGTGTTCTTCAATCATCTCCATTTTCTGTAACAGGGCTGGATTATGCTGGTCCCTTTTTTACAAAGGACAGCAAGAATAAACATTATCTGCTTTTGTTTACATGTGTGCTACAACTCGAGCTTTACATCTAGAACTTGTCCCTTCTATGAGCGTGGAGAATTTCATGCTTGCGTTTCGCAGGTTTATTTCTCGTCGTGGATTGTGCTCAACGATATATTCTGACAATGCCAAGACATTCAAATGTGCTGATCTCGAGTTGCGAAAAATTTGGAAGTGTATTCAACATCCATCTGTACAAAATTTGTTTTCTTCCCACGGTATAACATGGAAGTTTATTGTGGAAAAAGGAGCATGGTGGGGAGGGGAGGGTTCTGGGAAAGGCATTTTAGAACGATCAAAACTTGTTTAAGGAAAATAGTTGGACGTTCTAGTCTCTGTTTGAATGAGCTAGAAACAGTCTTCGTAGAAATCGAAGCCATAATTAATTCAAGACCCATAACGTATGTCTACAATGACCCTTCAGAACCCTCACCGCTAACTCCTGCTCATTTTTTAATTGGTAAACGTTTACTTTCTCTTCCAGTTACAAGAGTGTGCAGAGAAGACTTGATTGGGTCTAGACATTCCTTGATCAAAAGGTATAAACATCAACAAACCTTGTTAAACCACTTTTGGAATAGGTGGAGGAAGGATTACTTGCTTTCTTTAAGATCTGTGAATTTATGTCCACCTACTAAAGTGTCTGGTCAGTTTAATGTTAATGACGTAGTCCTTGTACATGACGACCGTTTACCTAGGAATTTGTGGACACTAGGTAAGATAATAGAAACTTATCCTGGCAGAGATGGTCAGGTTCGTTCTTGTCTCATTAAAACTCAAACAGGTAATCTAAAGAGACCAGTACAATTGCTGTACAACCTTGAAGTGCATAATTAGTAGTAAAGAGTTACAGTGTAATAATCTAATTTGTTGTTTGCACTTATGTCATCTTCTGAATATCTTTATTGATTGTTGCTAAATGTAGTTTAGTTTATATAATTCTTGCGAATTTTGATTTAGTATAATGTTTCTTATTTAGTAATTACTTTATAAGTTGATTTAACGTGTGTTTAAACATTACTTAATTGTTATTTGTAATTTGATGTAGTTTATAGAGTATTCAAATGTTGTGTTTGATTTAGAAATACTGGTTTATTTTGTATTCGGTTTGTGTGAACTTAAAGAGTTCACAGGTGGGGAGTGTTGTAAAGAGAGAAGTAGAGGGCGCTGCTTGGCAGTAGCGCAATGCATGTAAGTAGAGAAACGAAATGTCGTTTGATTAGGCAACATGATTTCTGTGAAGGTAGTCCACCTAACAATAGGACAGTTGTAAATATGTAAATAACGAATAATAAATAGCATTAGAAAACTGAACCACCGGATGTTTTGTGATTGCTCTACGGGCCGCCATGGATAAATGCAGGTTCGTCACACCCACTGCAGAATTCTTCACGAGAAACATTTATCCGGACAAAAATAGAAGTTACAGTAGATGAACCTTGGGTTTATCCAAGTGACTGCAATAAAAAGAGATTCAATTATTCTCATCAAAGAGGAGAAAAAACATTAAAACAAGCTAAAAAAAAGTTTTTCAAAGGGATTTATGATGGTTGCTGGCTTTTCATATAACGGCAAATTAAAAATAAAGAGAGTGGATAAAAATGTTAAGATCATCCACATATTCTGAAGAAAATATTTTATACTCAATTTTCCAAATATGAAATACCTTCTCTTTACCCACAGTGCCATCGATCAGTAGAACTACATGAAGGCAATGTAAGGAGTAACATTTCAAAACCCACTGTTCATGTCTTTAAAAAAAATGGAACAAGCAACGGGTATAAAGGCCATTCCCTTCACTCATATCCCTACTAAATTTCTTGATGTTGTAACACATAGTTGTAACTAGTTGTAACACATAGATTTTAACCCTTTTGGGCTTTTAAATGACGGATTGTTTAAACATAGACTTACAACACTGCTTGGACTTCGGAAAACTGTTCAAGAGGAATGGGATAAAATGCCTCGCCTGATACCACAAAAGGCTTTGTTGCCTTAGAAATTATGGTGTAGAAAGATAGGAAGAATAAAGCTTATCAAATGGAACATTCAAAAAACAAAAATTTTAGGTAAAATATTTCTGTAAATACCATGTGGAATGGTATTTACAGAAGTATTTTACCTAAAATTTGGAATGGTCTAAAAATGTGCGAAAAGCCTCTGTATTATGAGGTTTCAACTTCTTAGGAAGCATAAACTAAGTCGAGACTTTAGAAGATTAAAGCAATTTAACGCCCTGTTTTGTAAGAAAACAGAGAATGTAAGAAGGGTATAAAAGATCCTTTTATTAAGAATTCAAATAGTTAACAGAAGGCACGCCTTGTGCTTAGAAACCAGCCAGCATTTATGGTGCAACTCAAAAGTAGGAAATTCAAATTAAAATTACGTTAAATATGAAGTTAATCCAAACGCTAGACAGAAGTAACAGCGCGCATGTTAGCTCAAGCCTATACCGGAGTGAAAAGCACTAATGGCATGAATAACGCAACGCTCAACACAGAATGCTACTGTATGATTTCAACTAATAACGTGGCCTTCAGCAGGCGGAACACGCTCTGTCTAAATAATCTAAAACCTTCCTTTAAATGTTATACCTTTCTACCTCATTTGAATATGCACGAACTAAAATCAGCATTCTGGCAGAAAACGGTAAGGGAGAATGACAGTAAAAATGTTTAACATAAAAGAATTCGTTAGGTAAAATAAATAAATACCTTTCTAGATTATTATATTTAGCTTAAAATCTATGATGGGTAAATCTTAATTTTCTGAGTGGGTAAAACTGCTGAACACTGGTAGTTCCAACCGACGAAAGGTTTGACTGCGCATTACATTTCTAGTTTACGTCATTTTTAACGTGAATTCGAGGCGATATCCTTAAAAAGTACTCCTTGAAGGCATCCCTTCTGTCAGTTATATAGCCTTCGTTTCCTTGTCCTCAGTTAACCTTCTAAGAAATAACTCGATAATCACTTCTGTGACGTTTCACTAATTGAATTTTGTATGAATGCTTATTTCAGCTAAATGAATGAGAGATACTACATTTAATATTCTCCAAAAGCGTACTTGTTGTTTTCATTTATAGGAAAGAATTACGTGTAGGAAAACAAGTTCTAACCAATTCAAGTGCTGTATCATAACGGTCTCAAATATAAGCTACTGAAGTACCTAATGATGCGTATTCAAGTGCTTCTAACCAATTCAAGTGCCTTATGTTTGCGGCTCCCGAAGCAAATTTATGAGACCTGTTAATATATTTCAATTATGCTTTCGTTGTAAATACGGGTTGCAAGAAGATTTTATTTATTTTATTTGTTTATATTAATTTGTTACTATTAAACACGAAAGTGTATAATACTCCAGAAAGTCTATAAATGCAAGTAATTAATTTACAATGTAATAGCCGTAAAAAATCCTAAAGAAACTGCAACCATAATCTTAATGCCTCCTGGTTTAATGATTAATTTACTGGTAGCTGATGCCAGGAGTATAGATACGACCCAAGTAATCCGAGCAACTAATGCTAGCAAGTATACTCTATCGCGCACACACACAGAAAAAAAAAAGGGGGGGAGGGTGGATATTTTTCTGTATCCTTCCGGCTCCGATTGTCCGATTGACGAAATTTAACTTGCGTTTTTCATGTATCGTCTGTGTGTGTGTGATTATGGAAAAGCCTCGAGGGCTATCTGCCTAAGGGGAGGGATGCCTTCGTGGAGGACTTTCTACGGGAAGCTGGCTCGTATACACGTTACACATGGGGAAAACCACGAAAACGCCCATGCAGCCAGCCCATTCGCGGGATTCGAACCTCGGTCCGAACTATCAGTCTTCAGCGACTTTACCGCACGGTCGCTGGTGAGCCTTTTTCATGTATCGAAAGTGCGAAATAGGATATATATTAGATTTACATACGGCCCAAAAATCATTCTAACATAGGCATTGTGACACAAAATCGGACTTTTTCTGAAATGACATACCGAATTTTTTCCATATTCTAATTCTACGACTTAAATTATACCTAAATATTAAATTTTGTAAAATTTAATAAGAAACTTATCGAGAAATTTAAAAGTTTATCTTCGCACACTTTTTTCAGATTGCAACAACTCACTTGGCGAAATTCTTAATTTATGGTAACCTACTTTGTCTATTTTCCTTTCCCTTTCATCGTGCACAAGCAAAAAAAAAAAAAAAAAGTGCGTCCTTTATTTTATTTTCGAGTACGTTTTAGCGAAGTTCGTAAATTACATTTGGTGTTATTTTCGCTTATAACAAATATGCCAAATTTCAGAACGCGCCAATATACATATTCACGTATAGCTTGAGAAATTTTGAATAAAAAATTCTAATTTTTTTGCATGCACGCCTAACAATACATCTACCTTAAGGTGAATGTAAAAATTTTGTAGGTAACAATTCAGAAAATGTTTTCGTAAAACTTCTAAAAATTACTAAAAAGTACAAATTTTTAAAGCAATTCAGAGAATAGCTGCGAATTTATTTGGATTGAACCTAAATTTCGAACTGTGAAAGAAGGAATCAAGTAAGTTTAATAAAAAAAAAAAGGTATCAATAAATATATATTTTGAAAGCTAATTTTTTTAAAAGGTACGTGTGCCATTTTTACAAAACTTAGCACTTTGTCATAATTTCTATCGTAGAATGGAAATATGGAAAAAAAAATCTGTATATCACTTTAGAAAAAGTCCTATTTTGTATCAGAATACGTATGTTAGAACAATTGCTGTATATAAATCTAATATATATCCTAAGTCGGGTTTTCGAGACATGAAAAACGCAAGTAAGCTTTCTCAATCGGCCCAGTACAGCGGGAGATATAGAACTGCCCTAAACCTCTTTTGTATGTGTGTGTGTGTGTGTGCAAAATGCACTTCCAAACTATTATCTGTTAAAAAAAAAAAAAAAAAAAAGCACTCTTGAAGTAATTTTGCGGTTTCCTTAATTGCTGTTGTTATTTCAAATGACAGAACTCTTACAACTTAATAAATTCGTCGGGAAAGGCCTAATAGCCTATACTCATCATCCACTTAGCCATCTTAATCTTTACAAAAGTGCGTCAAGGGGGGGATTCAATTTTACATCCGGGAGAACGGACAAACTCCGCCCTAGTTTTAACAGAAAATATCCCGGAGGACAAAGCATCTCCTATCACTCTTCTCCCCTACCACCAAATCTCTCGATAGGACTTTTGATTCACCAATATTTTAAATGCCCCTGTGCTACACAGACATCTTAAACTTACAAACATCCAAACGTTCTCCGGGATTCGAGCCTGGATCCATCGATACAACAGTGCTAACATGTAGGTCCTGGAATGATCAGCATTATCCCTCGTCAGATTGAATGTGGAGGTCATATTCAACACTTGCTTGATAATTTCATCCGTGAAAATAAATTGCGCTCTAGTGACGAAATTGGGGAGGAATGTAGAATTTATTCAGGAGATATTTATATTTTAATATAAACTATATATTTCATAAAAAGTGTGTCACAAAAATCCAAATATTACAGATAGTACAGTGTTACCCGGTAAGCATCTGCTTTGAAGTACGTCCAACTTGGTATACGTCCTGGCTGGACAAAAAGCTTCATTTGGAATACGACTCGAGTTCGATGAGTCAGGAATGTGCGCACTCCATTTGTTTACTTCTTCCGAGACAAATCCATGATATTGAAAAAAAAAGACGCTATTAAATCGGCTGACATTGCGAAGGGGGTGAAATCGATTACCAAAGATCAGAGATGTTAAAGCTCGCTGCATACCTGCTTTCGTTCTGGAAGACAGAAAAATTTAAATGCAGTATCATGTTCAGTGATTAACTGCGTTTGTATTTTTATATTAAACAGTGTTACAATAATAATAATAATAAAGTGGGTTTTTTTTAATTATTATTATTATTATTATTATTATTATAAGAACGGCTTACTTGTTCCCCTT